GTGTCTGACTATGTCCTTGCTGGAAAGCACCCACTGTGTCCTTGCTGGAAAGCAAGCATCACTTAGGGCCACTGTCATCAAGCTCAGTTAACTTAACTGGCCAGTTAGTCCATCGGAATTGACCAATCGCATGCCAGTTAAGTTAACTGAGCTTGGTGACAGTGGTCCTTAACTGAGTCTGCTGAACGCAGCCAATAGGTGCATTCAGTACCACGACCGCTCACTGAGCGCTCAGTGAGCTCTTACATCTGATTGATATATTCTGTTAGAACTAAAAATATAGACCAAACAGATACAAGAGCTCACTGAGCGCTCAGTGAACGGTCGTGGTACTGAATGCACCCACTGATATACATAAATTTATCCGTGACTATTGTGAGTCGTTGTGAGTCCATTGTGATGTGAATGTGACATTTTTTGCTATGAGGATATAAGTATAGTACATAAAAATTTCTCCAAACAATTTGACATTACCTCCACTCCAACTCCTTGAATCTCCATTATCTTCTGATTGACGAGTCCTTCAACCTGCGTCTTCAGCAAATTCATCTTCAGTTGTACTAACGTGAGGACCGGGATGATGTTAGGTGGCGGATTGGCCGTCATGTGTAGATTAATCAGCGTGTTTACTTGCTGCGCATTCCTTGATTCCGATAATAGCTGATCCTTGGTCAGGATGTTTATAGCCTTTTGCGCCCTCGCCATCGTGTCTTCCATAGTAGTGGTCACATTCGAGCCCGGTACTTTACGTAGCACCAGTCGTGTAGCAGCGCAAGGTATGATGCCTTGCAATGATAGGAACTGTGAAGCCAAAGCTTGCAGATGTAGGGAGGCCGGACAGTTCCTTTGCGAGCAGATAGTATCATCGACATTGGGCGTGCAACGATGCTCGGCCAGATCGGTAGCGTCGTAACGACAACCGGCGCGTAACACGTTTCTAATCTCCGTCGAGTCAACATCGCCTCTTTGGCCTCTCTGGCAGCATCCACAATTCGACATGGCTTCACGGGTGCGAATAAACGGATCGTATAACGGCAGAGGCATCGGATAGGGATAGAACGACGGCGGCGGTGGATAACAGGCGGCGGGATAAGTTAATCCACCCAGTGGATGACCCGCAGGAGGCGAGGATGTTATTTGAGATACCAAAGGAAGCATGGGCGGCTGCTGCTGCTGCTGCTGCTGCTGTTGGGATACCGGCGATGGTTGGCAGTTGCCGGGCAGGATAAAGATGGGCGCGGCGTTGCTAACGCACGCACGAATCTGGTCCAAAATATTCTGCGGCAACTGGCCGCAACCGGGATGAGTCGGCGGTAAGCTCTGAAAGACTGGATGACATGGATTCGTTATTGGCTGCGGTGTACCCGGTGCGCATTGATGTGTCACTATGTAAGTATCCGGCTGACAAATATGAGTGATAGGTCCTCCTGGATAGATGAGAAAAATTGAAATAGAATACAATCATATCGATCATTTATGTATGTCAGCCACTTATGTATACATTTTTTTGTTATAAAATTATTGTTAAATGTTTTATTAAAAATTAGTTGAATCGCCCATACTCTGTATATAATATTTCGATTTTTAATTATTTTCATTTTAAACAAAAAAAGAAAATCGATAATTACTCGTTTATTTATTTATTTCGAAAATATTATTACTGATTTAATCATAAAAGAATATCTACCGAAAACTTGAGGCAGATTTGGTTAATTAGTTTTAATTGATATTCTCTATTATTAAAAAATAGATAATATTAATAATTAATTTATTATTATTTTGAAAATATTATTATTAATATAACTGTGAAAGGATATAATTTATTTACTGTTGAAATTTTAAACAATTTATTTATTTTTCAATTGATGTCATTTCAAACAAACAAATAAATATATGTATATACTTTTCAGTTCTTCATTATATTATATACAGAATTAAATTAAATACAACGAATAAAATTAAAGTGAGAATAAATTCAGCGCGGACGTATTTTATTTATTCAATTTTTCATACATTTTTTAGATATCTAGACAATATCTTTTTATTGAATAAAAGCGGCTTCGTCGCTTTAGTGAAACTATATTTGTAAAAAAGCACTCAACTTAAATTGTATGACATTAAATTATTACGTAATTTAGCGTTTGATTGACATGATCGGTTTTGTACCTTGAGAAGTTCCGGAGCACGGACCGCATGCTGCAGTTTGCATCTGCTGAGTGCTGGTTTGCCGTTGTTGACATGTTGGAAAATTATACTGACTCGTCTGCACGGGTACGTTCTGACAGGGCGTGACCTGTGACATCGAGGCCGCGTTACAGGGTAAATTAATCATCGGTACCAGAGACTAGATCATTGATTTGCTTTAACGAATTTAGATCCCGGCTGCAGCTGTCGTGCCCGCTCGTTCTCCTTCGTGATCAATAATGCATTATTCTATTCGCAGCGTGAGTTCGACCGTAATTTACGAAAATTACACTTGAAAATTTAGATTTTGAATTGTAAATGGAAACGTCAAGCACGAGATGTTCGGTGCTTGTCGTTGCCTTCGTTAAGATTTGAAGTTGCAGCGATCCGTCAAAATAAAATCATGCTGTCGATAATTAAATAACGTTTTTCAACAAAATTCATTTATCTGAATAAATAATATTCAAGTTATGATGGAATTCCATCATGAAGTTACGGTTTATAAATACGATATAATATATTTGCTATGAGAATTTTGCGATTTGTGTTTTGTCTTCAAAGTTTAAAATTTATTATGACACGGCGAGAGAACATTTTTCTCTCAGCATTTAAAGTCCGAGACTCACGCGTCATCCGGTTAAAATAAAATTCAATTAATTATATAGATCCGATTATACTGAGTAATTTCTTTAACGACGATAATCTTTATATAACGCAATTTAAACTTACTTCTACTTTTCTCAAGATCGAGACCTTTTCTCTGATTAAATGTCGATGAAAATGTACTTAAAGAGACGACGTTTTCTAAATAGTTCGTCACTTCTCGGCGTGGTAAACTTATTTACGACACCATTAAAAACCGATAAAAACTGGTTCAAATCGAAAAGAAGAAATATAAATGAATATTTCATCATTATTTAATACAAAATTTACGATGATGTCACTTTTTTTTAATCTATACCTATTTAATTTTGGGGTTCTTTTTCTAAACACAAAAGGCGAGAAATGTAGATTGAATAAGTAGTAATATTTAATATATGTGCAGATTTAATAACTAATTTATTGTAGATAATATAGAAAGAATAGAAACTATACATTAGATTTCCGAAGAATTACTGGTTCTGGAAAATGTTAAAGACGGTTATGATTTGTATCTCAATACTGGATCGACTCGTACGTGTTGATACAACTTCTGTTATCGGTCAGATAAATAAATGCGTGGAGGGGAGATCTGTGAAAGTGTAACGGAGAGCACATAAATGAACACTTATTATTAGTTGTAAGTGGAACGTGCTGAGAGATACTTTGAGTGAGTTTACCCGCCGATAAAGTCTTTAATTATGTTTAGATGGTCTTTATAATCATGCGAGCTATGTATGTCACCTATTTAATTATTAATTGATAGAATCGCTCGTTTACATCAACGTCTATGTTGCATTTTGACTCATTCTCGAGAGGCTAACGACACGGTTAAAATGTTTTTTAATTATTCCGTCGCCCGCTGACTCGTTGCACTTCGTGACGATAAACATTATTAACGCGCGCGACACTCGTCGCGACAACGTTATTAGAACGAGCGGGCTCGCGTAAAAAAAATCCTCATAATTCTCGACTTTCCGGCTTTAAGCGCGCGCTCTCGCAGTGCTGGTGTCCTTAATTGCTACCGTGTTTTATTACAGCGATATTATTTTCCCTTTCGCTATGGCCGACCCAGATCCCTGTATGATGTCGAGGAAACTCGTGGAGAAGTGCGAATGCAAACATTGCTACTTCATAAAATGGGTATTGATACCGGAGATGGTCGATGGTCGTTATTTCTGTGAGCCTGGGTCCAGGGAGTTCGTCGAGCTCGATTCCGTCGACGTGGAGCACCTAGACCGGAAGACCAGTCGCAAGAACGTGTTACATCGGGTGACGGCACGCGTAAAGTTTTCCGGAGTAACATGTGACTTTCCTCTTATTATCAAACTGCTTAAACATATGGAAACTGTGCCATCTGGCCCATTCTTGAACGAGGAGATGTTTTACAGCAAGATGACGCTTAATTATGGAACAGACGGTATCTCAAAGTGTTACGTGTCCGACCTAGGTCGATTCGATGATCAGGCTGTTATCGTATTGGAAGATCTGGCCGCGAGTGGTTACACACAAGTAGATGAAAAATTGGATGAGGATCACCTAAAGTTGTGCATGAAAGCTTTGGCGACGTTTCACGGCAAGGGATTGAATCTGAAGGCATATAAGTTTCCTATTTTCAGAGAGTTCTATGCGAAACTGTCTGAACCGATTGACTGGTTGCACCTCAATACAAGTCCTGGCAGTGTCAGGTATAATTCGATTACTTATTACTTGTACATATGTTTAGTATTAAAAATTACGTATTTATTTAAAAAATATGCAAATTAAGTGAAGCGAGAACATATCCATATATACACATATCATCGATTCTTGGCTTTTCATAATAATAATAATAATGTATTAATATTAAACATATTAATTAAAAGGTAATATAGTTTAAAAGATATGCAAGTAGTCCACTTGCGTGTATAACGTATCTTCAATCTTGTATCATTTGCAGAACATCTGAACTTATGGTTGAATCGTCGTTGGATAATCCTGGATGTTTGGACAATTCATTATATTCCGCGTTGCCAGTTGAGGAAAGTTTCTCCGAGAAAATAAGAGCAAAACAAAACATAACGACCAAACTCGAGTTTAACGATTTTTGGACTATCTGCCATGGTAATTTTACGCGGAATAACTTGTTGTTCAGGTACGAGAATGGATGTCCGAGTGACGTAAAAGTGATTGATTGGAGCACAATGAGGTACTGCTCACCATCGATCGATTTCGGTCACATTCTCCTCGAAAATCTGCCCGACGACAATAATCTGCCAAAAGTCAAGGCATTCTGCCAAAATATGTTGGAGATTTATTTAGACGCCGTGAAAGATGTGTATCTAGAAGTGGATCGCGAACTCTTGGAACGAGACATTATCGCCAAGTTGCCGTTTGCGTACGGCATGATTGAAAATCGGATGCTCAGAGAAACAGGGATGATGTTGCGTGCGCTCCATCAGTTAGGCAGTTTCGATTAAAACCACTATCGTCGTTTATCATTACAGTTATTTAATCTTTTATAATTTATAGAGTCTTCGCGACATTTATTCCATGTATTAAATTTCTCACCATTTTATTGTGCATATTCGTGATAGTGGTATACACGAATAAAATAGATCAAAGTAAATGTTACAGATTGAAGTTCCAAGATTTACTTTTGTCATTATACTTTTAATTTATAAACAATATGATTAATGTAATTTGATTTTAGATTTTCATTTCATGCAGAATGATGATGAATTTTCGAGATTTGAAAGTACAAACAAATTATTTCGTGACAGGCGTCGTTATAGGGTTATTATTAAGGATGATAAATTAATGTCATGTACACGATAGTATAAAAATTTTTATTATTGTATTTTTTCGTTTTTTAGACAGTTTATTAAACTTGCAGGATTGGTTGTTTTTATACGGCATATGCACATCGTACCACAGCTGCTGCTACGATATACAGTATCAGTGTCCGGCAATGAAATGCGGTATAGCATGTTGCTTAAAAATGCAAGTCCATATCGTTACTTTGGATTTACTTTTTCTTTGCTCTTTCAATGCTGATTACCTAGTTTAATATTTTTAGATTTATTTGTATTTACTTCCATTTTTGTCTTCTAATAATACTATTCTATTAATTTGCATTATGCATTCCTCGAAATATATCAGGATAATTTCAGAATGATTATAAATTCCAAAATAACTACGCAAACTAATAAATTGGTATTATCATTGAAATATATCTGAGATTATAATTACAACGACTAAACTAATAAAGCATTTTAATTTTTTTCTTGATATACAAATCTTGATATATTTTGAGTTGCAAGAATTATACATTGAAAAAATTATATTATTACAATAAAAGAATTGCAACGAGTGAGTATTTTTCTTGTTATAAATTTCCATTTTAAAATTATCCTGCATGTCTTTTTCGAAGACATTAGAATTATTAGTTACGTTACCTCTATCTCTGAGTCGTTTCCGCAGCTCTTGTTTGCTCCGGCGTGGTATTTCGTGAAGCTTGAGGTTGAATTCTCATTGGTCGACGTACGCCGGGGCTCGTTTGGTGCAGGGATACCCAATATATAGCGGCCAGCAAAAAGATCAGAATGATGACAGAAACGAACATCCGTCTTGGTCCACAAGTGGACTTCACTGCAGCCGTTATGATAGGAGGGCATGCCGGCAGGACCTGTTTTGATGGAGCGGATTTCTGCACTTGCGTCGATGCGCCATGGCTGCCGTTACACGGGCAATGCGTCCTTGTCAAACCCCACCCCATTTGGAATTTAGTAATTTTGACGATTTTCTGCCGAAAAACGATGTAAGCCAAATTATGTTGAGGTTGAATTGAGCTGAAGTCAAATCAGATTATCTCGGTCATGACAATTAACGATCGTCTGATCTTGCATCTGATTGCCGATCGATTTGTACACATATACGTGTAATCGATAAACAAATTCAAAACACACATTTTTATAGAGCTGTAAATAATCGAATTATTTATTATAAATTAAAAATTTAAATTATATGAGACTTTCAAAATTAATTTGTACACAGGAAGAACGATTTTGCTGAAGCATCTAAAAATTTATAGTTAGATAAATCTGAAAATAATTTTGTTGAATTATTAAAATAATTATATATGTAGAAGAGAGAGAGAGGCTCACAAGTTGCTAAAATATCAAAACTTTTTGCAACATTATGCTTGAGTTTCCTACATAATTACTTTAATGGTCGAACAAAATTATTTTCATATCTGTATCTATTTAAATTTTGAGATACCTGAGCAAGATTATTCTTTTTAAATATTTTATAAATATTAAAAAAGAGATTAATACGAACAAATCGTATATATACATATATTAAATTAATATTTAAATTTAGCAGTATTATCTTCTTGTCTATATCCTGTATTGGATAATAAAACAATGAGGTCGCGATGATCTATATTTTGCCCTAGTTATACGATAGCCTGATTTTACGGCACTGGTATCGCGATTCGAGTAATTTTCTGTTTTGCCGCCGATCCATTTTATTAATGAGGCAGCATACAAACAAATACAAATGAGACTATTCCCATGCGCGATGCTATTGGCGCGTCGGGTGAACATATATCTGGGGTTGACCGCGCGCTAGGCGCGGAGAGATTTGGCGCTTCCGGACAGTCCGGATCGTCCGTTGCAGGAATGGATAGAGTTAGAAGTTGGAAATTATGTACATAGTTGACGACTCCCTTACGGCTTTGGCGTTCGTCTATCTCTGCGCTTATAGTACAGATGTTTGCGGCATGTTGATCGCAGTACTGCGGCCGCGCGTCCATATAGAACAACAGCGTGCTTCTTACGCAGGCATAATACATTCGGCTACGTTTGTGTTTCCGCCTGAACAACTTACCGAGCATGTCAGTGCTTCGAATTCCCTCCAGTTTCATAATTGTCGAATATAAGGTCTAAATATCGTTTGCCGCCACCGCTATTGCATATACTAATAAACTCTGCACGCCATATTCATCCTTATCACTTTTGCTTTTCAATTGGCGTCACGAATTCATTCGGTAGAATTGATTGATGTAACGGCCTTCCCATAAAATCGATAGAATTGCATGCGATAACAAATATATAAATTTTATAGATATTCCTTTTAAAATAAAATTGTTTCGCGAAACTTTATGACACATCGTAATTGTAAATCATTTTATTTACGAGGTACAAAAACAAATTGATATTAAACAAAATGTTTATATATGATCCAAAATGGAATTTTTACGATTACGATAATAGATACGTAACAGGCGATTATTATGTTATTACACGTTACGTAACATATTTTTTACATTTAATCACTTTTATATCATTTAAAAATATGAGATTATATAGTTGAGAAAGAGATTATAGATTATTTAAACCGGCACATATTTGCATAGCAGACTGTTTTCACAGCGTGTTATTTTCAGAAGTCCCGAGTGAGTTAAGAAAGCAGTAAAAACAGCTCGCTTAAGTAAAGACTAACTTAATGGTCGACAGTGATGTTCCAAGATTGGACCACCGACAAGGTTGACGATACTGCTCTCGTCTATTCTTCTCAGCTCCTCTTTTCTTAATTTCGTACACGGAGCGAAAGGGCAAACATTCTCCTTTAAAGGGCCGCGCTCTTCATAATGAAGCGGTCTCCACGGGAGCTGGCGAACGATTTAATTTTGTGGGTATTAACCGTACATCGGCCCTGGTGCGAATTAGCATTTATTAAAATTTTATCGATCTAGAAACTTAACGGCTTTGCGCGACCTAAATTTCGCTGATGCAACGTTAAACGGAAATACATGAAAAATAAAACAGGACGCTCGATATTCGTCCCGTCGCACGCCGGAGCGTTGGTCGGTAGCGTCCTCGGCGCGGAATCTGGCTGAAAATTTCACAGAATCGTTAATCTTGGAAGACTCTTCCCCGTCAGTCGCTCTCAGGAATATATATGTATAACGTACGTGAATGCGCGCGTGACCGGCGAAATTATTATTCGGCATATCCCAACGAGGAATGCAAAAATTTCCAAACGCTCGCGTGTTTCTCACCCTTGGCCCACTAAATTTTTCACGCTTGCATACCAACATTATATTCGAGGCGGACATTTTTTGCGGTCGAATGCTTTGTATTTCTGTGAAGAATGACTGTAGATTTTACGATGACTGGCTGATATCTCGACACAATGATAATAATAAATAATAATAATTTTAATGAATGTATCATAAGTTTCGAGTTTTTGTAAATTTTATCATTCAACATAACGTAATAATGTAACGATAACGAATCTCTGTGAAACCGAGAATTAGAAATTATACGAAAAATATAGAATAAATTATAATATGTAAAGCGATCGTGGCTACATATTTATAACATATGTATATTATAAATGTATATTATAATGTATATTATAAATATGTATTATTATACATATTATTTATAGTATACGTTGAAAACAATATTAATTTGATTTATGTCCAAGCAGGACAAGTCACGATAACATCAAAATGACGTTAAACGAATCATTGATCGTAAAGTAACTTTTAGTAATCATTGGAGCTATTTTAATTACGATGACTCGTATTCTGCTTGGATGAATTCATAAATAATCGCGATAATAATTGCCAAAACTGCCAACTCCGACTAGATTGGAGCATCAAAATATAAAATGTTATAATTATAAATATTAATTCGCTATTCCAAGATTAGACATTGTACGGGATTATTTTTCTAATAATGTACTACTATCTTAATGTGCTGGCCAATTTTATCTCGCAGCGGCGCACGGCAATACGGACGAAGTAATATCGCTCCGCGTTACTCCTATTTTTCACGCGACGGAAATAAATCGTGCGGATAAATAAATACCAGGACTGTCGAGCAATGTGCCGGGTGTCCGTTCTATCTATCAGACTAGCGCAGGCTATCGCTACAAATGGCGTTTTCTACTTACACGGACGTCGCATACGCGAACATCGGTTTGGGTTATAATTATCAAAATCATCCTTAGCGCGTTTTAAATTATTTTATATATCGCTGCACAATATAAATTGCATGATAGCGCATAGGGAATAATGGAAATTCTACTACACAGAGAGAAAAAAATTTGTTTGGATTCGAGAGTTCTATTTACATTTGTTTCATTGAAACAAATTTAATTTTAAATGAAACATATTTTGTTTAATAAAAAAGTTTAGTTTTAACGAAAGTAATCACATTCTTAATTTAAACATCTATTCGGTTGGACTATTTTAATAAATAAATTTGTTTGATTCAAAAGAAACCTTTTCTCTGTATACCAAACGATTGCTGCAAATGCACATTTCAGGGGCTCTATTCAACGACAGTGTCGATATCGTTATATTATCGTTGTGTAGTTTTTCCATCACGTGTAAAACGTAACGATGTAATAGGTCTGATTGCGTTACTTGAAATCCCTAAAAATTGTTGCAGTTAAAACGAAATAAATAGATACATGTATATTCAAACGTTGAAAAGAAAGAAACGAAGATGAGTGGAAAAAGGATTCCGATAATACGAAGCAAAATTCATCGGAATCCTGTTTTCTGATTGGTTGCGGAGCGTCGTACGACGAAAATCGGATGCAGTGTGAATCCAGCATTAGTTTGCGACCTATACGATAAGTGTCTTTGTTTAACCTATAGGATAAATAAGGACATCTATTGTATAGGCCGCGGACTAAACGCACGGTGTAAGGCCGGAATCAGACTACCCATTGAAAATTGAGATTAGTGATTAAAGATTGAAATTTGATCAATGAGGACAAAGGAATTTTAGCTCCTATTGTTTTGATTGGTCAAATTTCAATCTTTGAATCTTCAATCTCAATCTTCAATGCGTAGTCTGATTCCGGCCTAAATGTAGCCAATATTCAATGCATAGTCTGATTCCGGCCTTAGCTGGCTCCCCCACTCTATGTATACGTGAAGTTCGGCATCTTGCAATTAATTCGTTTCGCCATTGTCGTGATTTGGAGCGAAACGAACGATTGCTCGGCGTCATTTTTTTTACGTGGCGATGTCGA